CCCCCCCCCCCAACCCTCGGGCTGATCTCTTCTGGGCCTCCGGCTCTCCCTACCCCCTCTTTGGCAAAATCAGGTGCGCACCTCCGGCTGACAACCGGCTCACACCTGGCCTCTTTTGCAGGTTCCAGCCCAGCCGTAGCCATCTCCATCTGTGAGAAATATTTAGGAATTGGGGTTTTAGGGTGAAATCCTCTTCAAGACGGCCATTACCCCATAAAACACTAGTTAGTGGTTCTGTAACATGGTTTGCGGGGAGATACAGGGCAACTGGAAAAGGCGGGAAGGGAGGCGGGTTTGCCAAGGTCTTGCGGGTGGGTAACGAGCCTCCCGTCCTCTGCAGACTGGCAGAAAACCGAGGCCCAGAAGCGACGCGAGCAGCTCCTGCTGGATGAGCTGGTGGCCTTGGTGAACAAGCGCGACGCGCTCGTCAGGGACCTGGACGCGCAGGAGAAGCAGTGAGTGGGCAGTGGGGTCGGGGGTCGAGTCTCTGCCGCCAGCCGAGGGGCCGAGAAGTTTGTGGAAAGTTCAGTCCAGAGGTCTCGAGTGGGCCGGGGGGCAGCGCCCCCCTCCCCGTGCTGGCCCCAGGATTCTTATTCCCGCTGGGGCTCAGATTGCGGGGTGAGAGGGGAGTACAGCTCTGCCCTCCACGTAGAAAAATAAATGTATTTCCTGTTTGACTTCCAGGGCTGAAGAAGAAGATGAGCATTTGGAGCGAACTCTGGAGCAAAACAAAGGCAAGATGGCCAAGAAAGAAGAGAAATGTGTTCTTCAATAGCAGCCGGACCAGAATCTCCCAATATTTTAATCCTGGGTCCCCCGACCAGAAAATGTCAGATTCGTTGTTGATTTAAAACTTTTAACATTTTTTCGGGGCTGGATTGTACTTCTTTACCACCACCCCCACCCCTTTTCTTCCCTCTTTGCCAGATAATATACAAAACTCCAAAATAGCTTTGTTTAGGGATTTGTGTGTGTGTGAGTTAATCATTTTCTTGAAATCATGTGAAATAAATTTGCACAGATACCTTGTGAGTGATTGGTATTGAGAGTGTTCAAGAGGCTGTTCAAAGAAAAAAGAAAAAAACCTTTCTCTTATTATTTTCCCCTCAGTTTTTGATGGGAGGACAATTTGGAACATTTTTGTTGTTGTTGTTGTTGTTGTTGTTGTTGTTGATAGCATAAATGGTGGGGAGGGGGGTGGAAGTGGGGGTAAGAAAAATGTCATGAATGATTTTTTTTCCAGTCCTGCCATATGTAACACTTGACTCTGTTACCTAAATTTTATAGTTAGATCATATTCAATCTACTTCTTAAACTGTGTTCTATTTACCAGTGGGATTTTCTGCAGTTGTTTTGCATTTCACTGTAAGGATAATAGAGTTCCTGTCCTCTGCTTTCCTTAGAGGATGGCCCTTTAATGTAGCCTGAGACAAGTCCTGTGATTTGAAGGTGAGCCGTGAGGATGGGGCTAATTGACATGCATCAGTTTACAAAGACGGTCTTATCATCTGAGAATGCGCCATCTTTTGCTCTGGATAATTATTTATTACATCTAGCTTGGTTCCTACATTTTGTTGGGTCTCAACATTGGCTCAAGAATGCTGTTAATATTTATTCTGTATTGATAAAAGTCTGTCTTGCCACTATGAGTAAGTCCCCCAATTAATATTTTCTTCTCTAGCATAGCACTGTCATTTTTTGTGTGAAAATGGTTATCTGTTTATTTATTACAATACTGAGTCATATATAAATTTTCAATAAAAGCAGAAACTTTCTTACCTTAACCACTGCTGATACTTCCTTGCAATGAAAACTTGACACTGGTTTGAGAAGTTCCTGTATCCATAGGACTTCGTGTGGGAGAAAATGGTCCTCTTGAATGCAGAGCAGGTACTAGGCTGTATTTGGAGCTGAGTAAGTTTATACGATCCCAAAGGGGCCCTGCTGACACACAAATGCGAACTGAAATACAATTAGTCATATTTTTCTTAAACAGTGTAAACTATTCTCTTTTGTCAAGAAGGGTCATCTCTGTTAAAGATTTAAGGAAATTTGTGATTCCACGGCACTGAAAAAATGCTAATAATATCTTGACGAATTTTCCACGTTATTTTCAATTGTTAATAAGGTTGCACTCATTAGGAAAAATTATGACTTCTGATAACCTGCAAATCTGTAGGTGCTGAAGTGAAAGAAAGAAAGGTTATTGTCGGCAGGGAGGATACATGCGTGCAGGTGTGTGTATGAGATGAGGGAAAGGGAACTTTTAACAAGAAGTTCTAGGCTACAGAAAAAAACTGGCGATTTTATGGTAGTTTCCATCACTCCTCTAAGAGGTGTCCGAAACAAAGCATGCTCGTTCAACAAGTCTAGAGACAGAGAAAACAGTCCTCTAGCATTTATACTTTAGCCTAGATCACACATACATATATGTAAATATACACACAAATCTACACACACACACACACACACACACACAAATCGCGTTCGAAAAGTAGACAGCCGCCTTCAACTGGCCAATCTTTCAAAATGGTAAAACTTCCTACGGTAGAATTTCTTCCTGACAAGGATTGAAGTTATTGAAAAGTTATCAGAACTAAATGAAATTGAGTTTTTGTCCTCTTTATTCAAGTAAGAGAGCGGAGCTAGCTGCCGCTCTCTGGGGGAAGCTCTCAGAACCCTACTCTAACCCCTGGGAAGCAGGCAGATGAAATCGCCGGCCCCAAGCAGCCTGGGGCTTGGGCGGCCAGCATCACCGTCCCATTTACGCTAGATTCGGGGAAGCTTCCCTCCCGAGGAGACTCGCGGAGAGGCGGCTCCCCCACGCCGCTTCCGACCTGTCAAGCGACAAACCTTCCCCAGCCCCACATTTGCTGTCCCTCCTGCCCCAGTCCCGAGCCTCGCGGGGTTTCCATTTGGGCTGCTGTGTGGCGCCCGCACGCCCCGCAGCGGCGGCGGAGCGCGGACCCCTGGGACTAGTGGGGTCAGGCCCGGGGCGAAGGCTCCGCGTCCCGATTTCGTCGCGTTGTGCCCAGAGGTTGCCCGCCGAGCGCAGGCGCAAGCCCAGCGTACCGAGAGGCCCGGAACCAGAAAGCCCGCGCTGCGGGAAAAGAAGCTATGGGCCCGGGGGTCGCTGGGGAGGAGGAGCATTGGCAGCAGGCTGGCTGGGGCACAGCCCGCAGGCCGATGCAGAACTTCCGCCCCTGGCCGGGATCCCACGACCCCGGAGCCAAAGCCCCTCCCACTGTCCCAAGTGTCCCCCAGAGTCTGGCCCGGCCTCGAGGTCACCTGGGTGCTGGATCCGGGTCCCAGGGCCCAACTCCCACTCCCCCTCCACGGCCCGGGGGCCTCGAGCTGGGTGGACGTGCTCTCCCTCCGGGATGCCCCCCTCTTCCCCTCCCCGCCCTGCGGCCATTGCTGGAACGGTCGCGGCTTCTGGCCCAGCGTCTCCCACCTGGACATTTGCCTAGCGACGGCCGCCTCAGTCCTCCACGCCGCGTACCAGAAACTTTCATCTCAGTCTGTCTCCCTCTCAGCACTCCTCCCTCTCCCTCTCTTTCTTTTCTTAATCCCGGGGTTTTATGGGTTGAGCATTAAGAAAATTCGCCTGCAATTTGGGATTAGATAAATACTCTCATTAGGGGGGTGGGGGGACTGTGCTACTTGATACCTCCCAACTTCCCCGAGACCGTGGCAGCATCTGGAAGCGAGAGCGCCGGACTCCCGCGTGGCGGGCCCTGGGGACTGCCTGAGCACATTCCAGCGCGCACAGCAGCCCCACCTCTCCGCGCCGGACCTCGGCCCCGCGCTGCAGCTGCAGGCGAAACAGGGCGCGGAGGAGGCAGGAGTGCGAGAGGTTGCGGGGCTGGGACATGGACATGCACCCCGGCACCGGACGGCTATACCCAGGCACAGAGCGCGCAGGCCTGGGCTAGGGCAGCGCCGGGCTGAGGACGCAGACGCTTTCGCCGCGCACTCCAGGACTCCCGCATAGCCTTCCCTCACAAACTAGTACCCTCCTGCCCGCGCCTTTCCCCAGAACTGAAGGCGCGGGTGTATTTCATTTCTTTCTTTAAGCCTTTGCACCATCGCAGGGGCTCTGAGCCGCGGGCCTCGCGGGCTACTATCCGCGGGGGCCTGCGAGAGCCTAAGTTGTGTCCCCGCCCGGGTCAGCGCTGCGCTCTGAGCAGTTTCTTTCCCGTTAAAGCTTTTTCTTTCTCATGTTTTTCCTTTTCTCTCGTTCTTTTATTGTTCTCTCTCCCTCTCTCTCTCTCTCTCCTTCTTTCCCTTTTGTGAATGGGCTGCGGTGTCTTTGTTCTGGAGAGAAGCGCCCGTGTCGCTGACTTTTGTGAACCAGAGAAGGATCTTGTAAAACCTCCTTTTCTCCTTCATACTCCTCCACTCCCACCCCTCCTCCTTTGCCCCTTTGATTAGATGTTCCCTCATCGTCCAAAAAAAAAAAAAAATGTAATTTCGTTGGTCTGGCGGCCACTTTCTTTGAACATTAGCTCGCTTTCAGCTCCAACTTCAATTAGAAGGAGTTGATTTTGAGAGATCAACAAAAGAACCGACCAAAGCCTTATTAAAGGTCCTAAGAAGATCTCCCGGGTCCTTTGAGAACCAGTTAAGGAAACAGTGTGCCCTCCATCATATTCTGTTACCGTATTTTATTCGGACTCCAAAGGAAAGTGTCGCTTGGGGGAGGGGGAAGCACTTTGATGAGCGGCGGCCGCGGCCCCTTTTCACTCAGCGGGCTCCCTTCCTTCTCCTCCTCCTCCTCCTCCTCCTCCTCCTCCTCCTCCTCCTTCGCCTCCTCCTCCTCACCCAGAGCCCAGTCCGCTCTCGGTGCCCGACCTCGCGGCCCCGGCAGCGCTGGCGCTCCCCACCGCGACGCGCCTGGCGGCTCCTTGATTCGCCCTTACACTTACTCCTGTTCAAACTTTTCACTCCGCCTGTTGGGATGGAGGGGAGGGGGGATTAGGAAAAGGAGTAGGAATTCCTCGAAAGGGAGTAAAGTGGCGCCTAATATTCAGAAGGAGGTGCCACTTACATGAATTGCCTTGCTCAGGGTTGGGGCGAAAACATATTTTGGGCGCTTTGAAAAGTCCACACAGGCACACGGGTTTGAGAAGTTTGTTCGGCCGGGAAACGGGCTTCGCCAGTACGAACAATCCGGGGAAACCCCAGAAGGTTCCTTCAGCGGTATGTGAGAAAGAAATTGAGGGCAGGGGTCTGTGGCCACGTTTTCCACCAGACTGTCCCTGGTAGAAGGAGATCGGGAAGAAGACAGAGAATGAGTATGAAAGAGAAAGTTTCCTTCCTATCAGAATCTTTCGATTCAGAAGCAGTGTGTGTGTAAGGGGTAGCAGACGCTGGCTTCCAACATTTCAGAAGAAGCGTCTAAGATTTGCAAACACCCTTCGTGGGGACTGTGAACCCCAGGAGACACCGAGGAGTAGGTAAGTGGCGGAGCCTCCCCTGCGGGTGCCGTTCCGGGCGCGGGAATCCCGAGGCGCCGAGGCGGGATCTGCGCACCTAGAGCTCTCCTGCGCTCGGCAAAGTAGCCTGTGCCAGCACGAGCCGCCCGCGGCGTCGGTCTGCAGGTGGCGGCGCGGTGAAAGAAGACGCTGGGGCCCGCGGCGCCGCGAGAGGGGCCGGGGGCCCCCTCCACTCCAGCCCGCGGCTCCGGAATCCTCGAGCCCACAGCCGGGCCGCCGAGCCGGGTGGCGCGCGGGAGAGAGAGAGAGGGAACCGGTTCTCCAGCACCTCGCCTCCTCTCTGCCACTCCCTGCCGGGCGCCGAAAGGGCGAGGGAAGGGCGGGGACCCCGGGGCGGCCTCAGGACCGGCGTCCCTCTCTGTGGACGGGGCTCTGGCGCAGCGTTCGCTGTCTTCGCCTCGCTCTGCGCGGCGTTTGCCAGCCAAGCCCTGGAGTTAGCGCGCCACCGGGGCGGGGCGGGCGGGCGGTGAGGGCGGGGTGCAGGGGGCGGAGGAGGGCGGGGGCGCATGGAGGTAACCCCCGGCTCGTGCTGCCATTGCCCGGCTCCCTGTCACTCAGCCCGCGCGGGGCCGGGGATTGGCAGCATAGCCCCGTTACGCACTCACCTCGCGTTCACATACCCGGGGAGGGCAGTAGAAAGGTGATCAATCTTCATCAGGCTACATTTCCAATCACCTAAACAACCCGGCAAGACAAGCCACTCCGACAAGGTAAATCGCTCGATTTATTTAGTTTGCAAAGTGCCTCTGCAGGACTTCCCCAGCCCCCACCGCCTCCACGTTGTACCGGGAGTGCAACTGCAACCGCGAGCCACCTCCCAACTCTGCCCCTTTCACCCCCACCCTACCCCTTGCGGCCCCTCGGCGCGGTCCCGGGCGAGGTAGTGTCTCGGGAACGCGTAGGGCTTTGCCAACAAAGTGTCTGTGCAATAAAGTGAAACCTGGAGGGACACGCACGAAGCCACTGGAAGGAAAGAGAAGGAAGGAGGGAAGTTGGGAAAGAAAGAAATCCAGGGATCCTAGACCAGCCGCTCGGCCCGGCGAGTAATTCCTGTGCCGCTCTGTTTTGCAGGTTGGCTGCCCCGCGCGGGTCTGTGTGAGGGCGCGAGGTAGATGGTGAGCGGCCCCGGCAGCTGAGGGCAGGTAAGGAGAAAGCCGTGGGGCCGCCCTAGACTCCGGGAGCTCGTCGGTTGTTCTTACCTCCCCTTCCTCAAACGGGCCCCCGCTTCCTGGGTCCCCGGCAGGTGGGCGGGGCTGGGGAGCGGCCTCGCTCCCCTCTTGGTGTGCGGACGACCCGAGATCTCTGCGTTGGCCCCGCGCCCCCTCCCCCGCCTCCTCCGAAGTAACCAAGTGCTAAGTTTGAAGAAAGTCTTTGAAAACTCACGCTGCAGCCTAGCAGAGACGCCGCGTTTTGACGTCCCATTCTCTTTGGGCCCTGGAGCCCTGGCTGTTTCCCTCTCTTACCCTTCCCTGCAAACTGTGTTCCCCCAGCCCAGACAGTGGGTCCTGATGGATAGGAGTAGGGTGGCTTCTTTAGCTCTTACTGCTCTCCCTGAACTCCTAGCCCCGGGGCCCAGGCCTGCTTTGGATTCCCGCGACGCGGGGTGAAGCGACAGGTACCCCGGGGGGCCCCGGTCCCACTCCCCCAGCTCTATTTCCTACCCTCTGAGAATAGCGCCTCTGGTTGGAGGCAACCGGGGAAGCGAGGCTTCGACTTTCCAGTGCGGGTCAGCGCGAGCTCTGCCGCTGAGGCCTACTTGTCTCAATCGGGTTATGGGGCCGCGGGTTCATCTAGTAGGATAGGAAGGGAGTACACCAGAACGCTGCACTGAGGCCTCCCAAATCCGTGAGACCTTTTGGGGAGCTCGGCGGGTCACCTTTCAGCCTCCGCCGGGACGACATTGTCCGCAGCCAGGACCGGGCAGAAAGAAGGACCCGCTCGCATTCGCGAAGAAGGGCCTGCGGCGGTGGCCAGGCGCCCCTGACCTCCCGCCGCGTCTTAGAGCCGCCACCTCTACAGTGGCCCCTTCTGCGTCTTCTGGCCGCCTCTGCGGGCCCTGGGCCTGTAACTGCGGTTAAGGTGTGGTGGGATTCCCGGTGAGCAATCTTTCAAAGTCTGGGCACAGAGAGGTTAACTAGAGGGGTGGCTGTGGGCTCTGGGGCCGGGACCCAGTGGCAGAGACCTTTGAAGGAATGTATTCCTCTAAGTGGGTAATGCATCTCAGAGAGGCCCAGGCGCTGCGAGCTCCCCGAAAGTGCCTCACCTTGGCTCTCTGGAGCCTCTACCTTTTGGTCCCGCTTTCAAAAACGTTTGAAACAAAAGGAAACAACCCCTTATGCCCTGGGCAGCCTGCCTCACTGGCGCGGAGTAAACGTTTGCTTTTGCAGTATTGAGGCCTGCTCCTACCGGACCAGAATTTTGCCTAGACTTGGGACCTTGTACACTCCGCCTTTCAGGCTCCGACCTTTCCAGCTTAGCCCTGCTTTTAACCTCTCCTCACTCTTAGTGACGTCCTAGGAGTGTCTTTTACCCTTCCAAGTGTGAAAAGAGTAGATGATGATCCAGAAAAGCTTACTTTTTTCAAAGAAGCTGTGGTTTTTAGACTAAGGCCTTATAGAGCCGAGTTGACCGCCTCGCGAAGTTCCGTAGCCTCCCCATTCCGTGGCTCCTTGCCTCAGACAAGACAAGGAAGCCGAGATGGCTCCCAATCACTGTTTACATGTGTCTCCTGTCTCCATAGGCCGGGCCCCCAGGCGCCAAAGAGCTTGAAGGACTGCGCAGTGGGAGCCCCGCACTGCGCCAGGCCCCGGCCCCCTGGATCCGTCGGGGCGCCTCCACCCAGCTGTTAGCATGATGTCTTACCTCAAACAACCCCCATACGGCATGAACGGGCTGGGCCTGGCCGGGCCAGCCATGGACCTCCTGCATCCTTCCGTGGGCTACCCCGGTGAGCACCGGTACCCGCCCCCAGCCCCTGCAAATCTTGGGGATCCCCAGACTCTGAGTTTGAGCACACATTTTTGTCGCTGAGCAGGCCCAGGGAGCCGGTTGGCTAGTATGCCTACCATGCACCACAGGCTGCAAGCTCACAGGGCAGTCACCGCTGGGTGAACTGGGCCTGGGCAGTGAAGTAGTGTAATGTGTGCTTTCCCAGCCTGGCCACACGGACAACCTGTTTCCTGTTGTGGTCCCACCACCAGCACAGGGAGCATTTACCTCGGGCAGTTTCCCATGGGCTGCCTTTTTTTTTTTTTTTTTTTGGTGTGTGTGTGTGTGTGTGTGTGTGTGTGTGTGTATGTGTGTGTGTTACTATGTGTATCTATTCCTTCCCCCTCCCCACCCCCCCGCCAATATTGAGTGAGGATTCTGGACACTCTCTAGGCCCTAACAGGAAGAGCCAAGATTTTCTCATGAGAAATGACTGGCAGAGATGAGGAAGAGGGGTTCTTTCTCCCTAATTAAATAAATTGTCCTCTACATGGGTCGTTTGCACCAACTTTTGCACTGCGGATGTGGAGAGCCTGAGCAGAATCCTGGCTTTTTGTTTGGTTTTGTTTCCTAGCTCCCACTCCTTCACCCCCATGTATTCTTTCGGAAAGTGTTTTCCGGGCGGTGTTTCTGAGCACCCCTTCACCATCCTCCAGCCAGGGGGTGTGTTGGGGGCAAGGGGGCGAAAACAGGGAGATTATATAACTTCTTTTCCTTTCCTAACCTCTGAGAAGTAGGGAAGGGGCAACTCTGAAGTCTTGAAGACCCACTGGTTCTCAGTCGCACGCATGTACTTTCTCCCACCTGTGGCCTCTCAGGCTCGCCTCCCGGGGGAGTTTTTCTTTCGCTTGGAGCTCTGCTCTCTTTTGCAACGGCCTCGCACAGGGCCTGCCTGAGGCCTATCTGCGTCCTCTAGCGTGGGTCCGCGTGGCCACCGCTGACCCGAGGCGCCCCCGCGTGTTCCCTCAGCCACCCCGCGGAAGCAGCGGCGGGAACGCACTACCTTTACACGCTCACAGCTGGACGTGCTCGAGGCGCTCTTCGCCAAGACTCGCTACCCTGACATCTTCATGCGCGAGGAGGTGGCGCTCAAGATCAACCTGCCGGAGTCCAGAGTTCAGGTGTGCGCGCCCAGGGCTCCTGGGTCAGGGTAGGGGCTCTGGGACTAGCTGGAGAGGGCCTGGGAAGGGTGGTCTGGTGTGGGGCGGGCTTACAGACTGGGCAATTCCTGTCAGACTCCCCCTAGCGCTCAGCCCGGGCCTAGAAGAGGGGCAAAGTCAAAGGCACTAGCTTAGAGCACTGGATTCGACCCTTGGTCCCAGGGCGCCTTCGGTATTGAAAATCCTTTTTATGATTTTGGGAGGATAAGCAAGGTTTCCTAACGTAAAGTGCCCAGAGGGCCCGACACTTGCCCCTGCTTCTTCGGCCATTCCAGGATTTGGCAGTTTTCTTTGGGGTCTTGAATTGTGCCTTCGCACTTGCCTTGCATCCCGGGGATCCTGGAAATGGAAGAGTGGAGCTTGGCCAGAGCCTGGTGCCCTGTCGGAGTGCGCTCCCTGGGTGGCGCAGGTTTGATTAGATGTTTCCTTTGCCCAGAGAGGATGCCGAACACAAAACCCGGCTACCGGCTTTGCTGTTTCTGTTTTTGCGGTGAAAATACTGTTTGGATTATAACTCAGAACTCTCCTCAAGGGCCTTTTATCTCGCCTGCTTTCCCTCGAGGCTCGAGAAAGAACCAAGAATGTTGTGCCATGTACCAGGGCCCTCCAAGAGAAGTGAGAACTTTGTCCCATTTGGTTCCCCACTTGGAACCAAGAAGCCCAACGAAATTCTGCTCAGGCTTCCTTCCCTAGTCCCCCGAGTACTGCCTCTGTTCAGCCTCCCCGCCTTGCTCCTGCATCCGCTCAAATTCTCGCTTTGCCCAACGCTGGGCCTCCAGGGGACGACTGCCTCCCACCTCAGACTTGGTGACTGTCCTGCGCTCTCCTTCGTGCCTCTCCGCAGTTTCCTCAGCTCTATTCATAGAAGACAGGGCCTCCAAACATACATGAGGCTGTTGGGAAGCAGCCAACAGCAGAGTTTAGACATGGCTGAACTTCTGGCTGGACAGACGCGAATGTTCCGCCCTAGGGCAGAGTGGCGCTGGGGGTGGGGAGGTGCACGTCCCTACTTTGCCAGAGGAAGATCTTTGATCTGAAGGTTGGGGGAGGGCGGAGGAGCTGGGAACGCAGGGGCAGGGGCTGGCCCGGTGGGAGATGAGGAGGGGTGGAGGCCGCCGTTGGAGAGGGATAAGAGATCCTAAGCCGGGCGGTGGGTACAGGGGCCGGGGAGTAGCAGGCTCTACTCGCCCCCCTGACACCCTCTCCCTGACTCGGCCCGCTGCAGGTCTGGTTCAAGAACCGCCGTGCCAAATGCCGCCAGCAGCAGCAGAGCGGGAGCGGGACCAAGAGCCGCCCAGCCAAGAAGAAGTCGTCCCCGGTGCGGGAGAGCTCGGGCTCGGAAAGCAGCGGCCAGTTCACGCCTCCCGCTGTGTCCAGCTCCGCCTCGTCCTCCAGCTCAGGATCCAGCGCCTCCGCCAACCCAGCGGCGGCAGCGGCGGCAGGCCTGGGCGGGAACCCGGCGGTGGCAGTCCCGTCGTCGTTGAGTACGCCGGCTGCCTCATCCATCTGGAGTCCGGCCTCCATCTCGCCGGGCTCAGCGCCCGCGTCGGTGTCAGTGCCCGAGCCCTTGGCCGCGCCTAGCAACGCGTCGTGCATGCAGCGCTCGGTTGCTGCAGGCGCCGCCTCGGCTGCAGCCTCTTATCCCATGTCCTACGGCCAGGGCGGCAGCTACGGGCAGGGCTACCCCGCGCCCTCGTCTTCCTACTTTGGCGGCGTGGACTGCAGCTCCTATCTAGCGCCCATGCACTCGCACCACCACCCGCACCAGCTCAGCCCTATGGCACCCTCCTCCATGGCCGGCCACCATCACCACCATCCGCACGCGCACCATCCGTTGAGCCAGTCCTCAGGCCATCATCACCACCATCATCACCACCACCACCAGGGCTACGGCGGCTCAGGGCTCGCCTTCAACTCTGGCGACTGCTTGGATTACAAGGAGCCTGGCGCCGCCGCTGCTTCCTCGGCTTGGAAACTCAACTTCAATTCGCCCGACTGTCTGGACTATAAGGACCAAGCCTCATGGCGGTTCCAGGTCTTGTGAGCCCAGGAGTGGGAGGAAGAGGAGATGAAACGCAACTACCTGCGCCCTCCGTGGTCCCCGTCCTGTTGCTGCTGCTGCACCGCCCGCCTTTGCCTCGGCTTCTGCAGACCTGAATTTTCATGCCCCTGAAAGATGCCCTTTGCCTGCACTGCCGCCCTCATCTTTCTGCCACTTTGTTTGGGGGATGTGCAGACCCGCCCACCCCTTGGATGAGGGGACAGGTGCTTTGGCTTGGCCCACAAGTTCTATATGGGGAGAGCTGTGTGCTCTCTTCCTCATCCCCTAACGAACTCCTAAGTCACTCTCCTCTGGTGTTTCTGGGCAGTTATTATGCACTTGCAGCCTTCGGAGGCTCTTGCTCTGACTCTCTGTTTGAACCGTACACTTTTATTTATTCTTTCTGGACACTGGAATCACTAACTGGCATGTGTCTGCCCACTGGAGTGCACCCACACTCTACCCCAAATCAAAACAACCACTAAGTGTTTCTCGCTTGCAGACTACCGCCCCTTCAGCAGCCCTCGGTCCCGCTCCCCGGCTGCAGGCCAGAGCTTTCCGGCGTTTTCTCCTCCCCAGCGGGATGCGCTGGGGCACGGCTGGAGGGAGGAGCGCGTCCCTAGCCTCTCGCGCACAGCCCCGCCCTGCGTAGAACTGGCTCAAGCTTCCGCCTCGGCGGGAATGCTGTACATAGTCGGGTCCGTTCCAGGGACCATTTAAACTTTTTAGTTGCTGTTGGTTGAACTGAGCATATCTCGTCTTAGCGCCCAGGAAATAGAACTTTAAGATATATACAGCATATATATACATATATATACACACATATATATAAAACAAAAGCAAAAAATATTTTCCCTCTGTCCCCCTCCCTCTCTTCCTTAAACGATGGCGCTTTTATTTTTTCAGTTGTTGCAAAGCTGTCCTGCTCTCTCACACCTTCTCCCTCTGTGTGTTTATTAAAGAGAACCTTTTGGTTCCAGGAAGCTGGGCGCGGAGGATAGAGAGGGTCCGAGAGTGTGAAGGAAACGACCAAGTCAGGGTACAGGGGAGGGGGCTAGGCTGGGCGGGGACGCAGGGCTGAGCCCTTCACCCGGTCGAAGCACAGAGTCGCAGTTCCGGTGTAGAGACCAATCACAAAACAAAACAAAACAAAACAAAAAACAAACAAAAATACGGCATTATGGAAAAACAAACAAGTCAACCCAGGCCCCAAACCCTAGTTCCAATTCCTCTGTCGGTTTCTCTCTTTTTAAACAACCCTGTTTCGTCTAGTGAGTTTTTAGTGCACCTTCATTCTCCGAAATCTGCGGAGAGCCCGCGCCTGTGTATCAATTTTGGCTTTGGCCTTTTCGTCCAGTAGGTGGGAAAGTAATTTGTAAATTTGATTTGTCCGATGTGAAGATCACAAATTACTTGTTGAAATGTAAGGCAGTCCCCCTCCTCCCCTTTTATCTACATTATTTCCCGAAAATAAATGCAAATTAATGAACGGCTTGTCAGTGTTGCTCTTCTGATTCCAGCCCCCAGGTCCTGGTCTCGGGGAGCCTAAAAGGAGGGGGAAAAGTCCCGTGTTAATACCCTCGCGTGTTAACGACCTGTGGGAAGCAGAAGGCCAAATGATAGGGAGGGAGGACGTGGCAAAAGGAGGCTCCAGAGATGGTCTCTTAGGGAGTGTTCTCCCCTCCCAGTCAGGTCGGCCCCTTCCCGCGGGCGTTTTGACCCCGCATCCCCTCTCGCCATCCTGGACGGAGACAGGTGTCAGGACTCAATTCCCGAAGCAATTCCTTTCTCTTCAGAGGCAGGAACCTGGCACTGATTTCTTCACCCTAATTGCCTGCACCAGACAGAAGAGGGGGAGGGAAAGAGGGTCGGGAGGCGGGAAAGGATAGCTCTGTAATGCTTTCAGAGCTGAGCCAAAAGGAAAAGAAAACAAAACGACAAAAAACCGATCCGTGTCCTGCATGTTGGCAGCAGACAACCTTCCTTTCTGCTGAGCTGTCCCGCGTGGCTTCACGGCGACTAGGGGATCCGAGTCATTCCTTCCATGTGCTAAGATGTCCCTCTAAACCCCCAGGCCCTTGCCATAAGTAGCCAAGTTATCTTTTGCGTTTTGTGAAGTTTCTTTCCAACGCAAACATTAAGATCTAGGAAAGCCGACAAGGACGCGTTTCACTTTGGCAGGGGAAGAAGACTCCCCACTTGCAGCAGGGGGTCGGAAAGGACGGTTCCATCTTGTCCTGAGAGAAGACCAGGAAAGAGGTGGGGATGGGGTGGGATGATCCGTCCAGAAAACCCAGGGACCCGGAGCTGTCCAGATTCTGTTCGGCCCGAAACCTACTGGGTGTAAGGCCCAGAAGCTGCTCAACTTGCCCACGGACGGGAAGGAAATAAGGAAACAACGAAAAGTTTCCTGCGAAGTGACCAACACACCCTATTCTGTTTATTCCGTGTAAGACCTGAGAACACAACGCGAGGCCGGGTTTGGAGAACGAGCCCTCCCTCAGAGTCCCGCGCGGAGCAAGGTCTTAGGGCCGCGAGCTCCGGTTACAGAAAAGCCTCTTCGGCCGCGTCCTCCCTCTGGACTCCGTAGGCCCGGCTCGGGCGCACTGCGCCTCCCCACTCCAACAAACCCATTATCCCCGACTCAGCAGAGGCCCGCGGGAGGGCGCAGCCGCGGCCCGCCGGCGCCGCCCCCGGAGGAAGACCCCGAGCGCAGGGCCGGGCCGCGCCCGCGCGGGCTCCGCCTTGGGCAGCGCCTCCAGTTAAAGGCGGAGCCAAGGCCGACCCGCCGGGTGTGCCGTGGCCCCTCGGGTGCGGGGCCCGCACGTGCCGGAGAGGCCGGGGCGATGGCCGGAGCAAGGAGGCTTCCAGCCCGCGCTGCACGGGCCTGGGCACCCGGGTTGGAGGGCTTCCCGGGCGCTCCCCTCAGCCCACCCTGCCCGTCCCGCCCCGGTTCACGCAGCAGCTGCCAGTGGCGCTAGAATGAATGGGGTGCTACGCTGCCCCCACCCGCAGTTCCGAGGCGGGTTCTGGGGGAGGGGGGCAGCGGTCCTCTTGGCTGTTCGGGGGAATGACACCAGGAGACCCGGCTTTGCGCCTGCTCGGACAACTGTGTGGCCTCCGGAGCAAGGTACTCAAACCCTTGGGCCTCCGGTCGCATTTGTTAGTTGGCCCCGCTTGGCCTGGGGCGCTCCAGAACTTCACACTTGGGCCAAGTTGCTGGTGGGTAGGTCAGACGCGTCCCCGTGGCCCGGCCACTCGGCGGCGTCCAGAAGGTTCGGCGCCTGCGTACTTCAGCAGACGGGCCCCGGTGGCCGGGCGCGCGGAGACCCGGCGGGAGTTCCCGCCCCGGGGAAAGGAGGCTTCGAAAAGAGGCACGTGCTTCTCCCAGGGCCTCCCCGGCTGTGCCGAGGGCCCGTGGCGCTGGGTGGAAACCAGGAGCCCGAAGGCACTGGGGCACCGCAGGCCACCAGGGCGCGGGAGCTAGCGGGGAGAGGGGTGGGTGCGTGGCCGCGGCGGGGGCGGCCCGAGGTGGCCAGGCCGGGTGAGGGGAGGGCGTCTCCGGGCGGCGGCGGCGGCGGCGGGAGCGCGGAAGGCCCCTCCCGGCCCGGCCACCTGTTAATGGGCAGAACCGCTCTCATTCAGCTCGCCCTTCTCGGGAGGGGAGAGGTTTGTTCTGTTTGGGTTGGGTGTTCGTGACACAAGTGAGGCAACTTAAGGAGATTTAGCAACGCGAAGACAGTTGCTTACTCAACAGTTTTCTTTCGTTGAGCACCCAACGAAATCTTCGTGTTTTTTACTCCTAGTTTGTGTTCTCTGCTCAAACTCCAGGGGCAGAAAAGTCCACCCTGAAGTGAACACGTGTGAGGTGCCGTGAGGCGTAAAGGATAACTCCTATTGGTGATTTTTAAGGAATTTTAAAACTTAAAACTGTCGTGGGAGCACCGCATTCATTTACTGAAGCTCTGAAAAGATTCAGTGAAGTAACCTCGTTTGTTGTAGAACTTTTCAGTCTTCAGTAGCTACTGAGAGTATATGGAGACGTTTCCCTAGATTGTGAAAACAGTTTTTTTGAGGGGAAAAAAAATCGTTAAAGCTATGGAGTATTTACGTGAGCGGGAAAGCAGGTAAAAAGACACTGCATGTCAGCAAATTCATGTCTGCTACATTATTGGGCTAAAAAAGCAGTGGTGTCATTTCTTGTGTCAAAAGAAAATTACTAGTTTTCTCATGTATTTGTTCAAAATAGCAGTTTCACAAATAAACAGATTTCTTTCGATTGTCAAGATAAATGATAAAACCACTACTTACTCTGGCAGAATTGTTATTGATGTTATTAATTAAGCCTTAACAGGCTCTCAGATTTTCTTTAGAAATACAGAAATAAAATTGTATCCGATATATTAAATGTAGTTAATATATACATTATTGGTAGAGAAAATCTGTATCATTACTATTCAAGACCGAAAAAATCACTTGGCTTCTGATGCAGAATTAATTTAAGAACAGAACAAGATATCTTTATGAAATTCCTTAATTGAAAACCTATCAAATTCTCAAGTTATTCTATATTTTCCACACTTCTTTTCCCTTCCCCCATACATTTTAATGTCTAAAATAAGAATGAAAAAAAAACTGATTAGATTTAACTAAAGAATAGTTATATTCAACAATATAATATTAAAGTAGAAAGCAACTAAAAGGTGAATACAACAAGAAAACATCTCTATTATCTTTAAGAAAGAACCTGTTTAATTAAATGTGTGGGTGTCTGGAATATGCTTTTTTTTTTTTGAAAAGGAGAGGCTTTGCATTTAGCTGTGTTTAGTAAACCATTCCTGAAAAAGCAATTATGCCTTAATTATCTTGTTGATATTTACTGATATCTGAAAAAAGAATTGGATTGTTTTGTGAGGGAGGGTGACATGCCATTTTGACCTAATTGTTTAATCATGCTTTAAAAATGAGTTGGATTTCATTTAAAATACATTAGGTGCAGTCTT